TGGGTAGTGGAATTGACACTCAGTTTGGTCCAATGCATTGGTTAATAGTTCATTTGCTTAAGCTCTTTCTCAGTCCTTGCATTACAGTGAAAGAAGTAGGAAAAGCCTTTTTTTTTTATTTGTGTGTTTGAAGAGACAGCTGTTCCTTGCAGAATTTGTCCTGTGGTTTCGTACAGAATCAACAGGAAGTAAGCAGTAAGAAAAGACCATGGGGAAGTAGACCACAAAGAGAAATCTTTCGCCAAGGAGGTCGAATTCTTCTCTGTTGTTGATCTTATGCTGAACTCAGGAGGGAGGTATTCAGTAAAAACCAACTAAGATCTGTGTAGACTCTTAAGGATTGCCTGAATGCCTACTTTTGTAAAAATTGAAGGATTGCCTTAGTGGTACAGCGTGAATTCCACCTTGTGTCAAACTTCCTCTTACCCAAACATAACATCTGATTTATTATCAGTATTAAAGTTGATATTCAGCATCCCACATTTCCCCTTTTTTGTATAAATCATAATTTTGTGGTCATCAAGACTAGCATGATTTCTTCAGGATTCATTCTTGCTTGTTTTCTGTTCTTTTCATCCTTTATAGACAATCCAAATAAATACAGCCAATTCAGCAAAATAAGTTCACAACATACTTCCAAAATTCTCTGTGCAGTCAGAAGAATTCAAGTTGGATATTCCTTGAGTCTGTTTTTATGGTCATATACCTCACATTGCATTCCTTAAGGGTCGGTTTCTATTGGTATAGCCCCACAGTCCTTCTCAAAACTAGTTTTGAACAATCGCTGGCTTCCGACATTACTATGTGATGTTTTGTGTGTACTTTCTGTTCCTGTGTGTGGTGTGTCCTGTGTGTACTCTGTCCTATTGTGTGTGTTTTGTGTGAAAGGTGAGTACTCAGTGACTTTGTGTGAATACTCTGAGATGTTGTGTGTCTGCTCTGTGATGTGGTGTGTGTTCTTTGTGTGTTTCTGTGTATTGTGTGGTGTGTCTGTGTACTCTATGATCTGACATGTGTCCTGTGTGCGTCATTTTTCTGTTTACCGACCTCGAGGAAAGCAAATGATGTCATGGTTCCTTTCATTTTTCCAGTAACTGTTTCTATTTTAAGGGTTTTTATCCTTTGTTAATATCCTGAATCTAAAAAGTAGACTCACATTATAGTTTTGTTTTGTTGGGTTTTTTTTTCAAAGAAGGCTGTCCTCTATGACTCCCTTTGGTTTGGGTTTTATATTGTCGTACTTGGATTTTGGCAGGTATTCAAAACTTTAGTGATCAAGAGGCTTTATTCCGTGAATATACACAGATGAAATTCTTAAGGGCGAGCCCACTGTGGCCTTCCATGTTACAACAGATGTCAACATTGTGTGGCAAAGAAGCTTTAGAACAAAATCAAGATGATGACTTTAGGTGAGTTTCAATTAAATAAAACAAACAAAAAAATCTTCCAAGACCTTGTAGGAAACAGTAACTTTAGAGACAGCCATCAAAAATTTTAAATTTGGAAAGGTAAATAGAGGAGCGTAGTTTTGGTAAAATTCGAGTTTGGAGAATCCTAAGGGAAAATACATATGCCTTTATTTTTTTTTATTGTGGGCAGATGAGAACACACTTATTTACAGCCTAGTGTTGTGTGTTTTTTACCAGACATTAAACAGTACAGGACGTATACGAAAGGGTTGCACAGAATCACCCATGAAAGCTGCATCAGAATTTACAGTCTTCCCTCTTTGGAAGGAAATTGTCTAGATGTAAACCTGTTGTGGACACACCTTGCGGAGACCACGCATTGTACGTGACAAACGTAGCCAAGATTTTTGTGCCTTCTCATCCCTGTGGATGCAGGGGGTGGACTATTGGGAATGAATGCACAGAAACATGAATAACCTCTATAAATACATTTCCTTTAGTTTTTCAACAAATATTTATCATTTTTGATCAGCTTTATGATTGTACAGGAAATGGGAAACTTATTATGCCTGTACTAGGAAATGAAATTCAGAGTGTACGTCGGCTGTATTGATATGACAAGTGTGGTAAGTCTGTTTTTTCTCTTTTACATCTAAGGAGATATTCAAGGACACTTGTCGCAGAGAAACCTAATACAAGTAAAGAATGGGTGAAAGCATTTTCACCATCAAGTCAGATCACGGCGCAGGTTACAGTTCACATGGGAGAGATAAGTTTTGAATGTAAGAAATGTGGGGAAACCTTTCCTCGATCACATGACCTCTCTGGACATAGGAAAACTTCTACAAGAGGGAAATCTGATCGGTGTAATGAAGGTGAGAAACCAGTTTCCCAATCAAGTCACCAGACTTCTCATAGAAACCTTGATGGAGTAGAGACACCTTCCGTGTGTCAGGAATGTAGAAAAACTTGTGCCACATCAACTGACTTCGCTCCACATCTGATAATTCACGCAAGAATGAGAACTCATGAATATAAGGAATGTGGGAAAACTTTTTCACAATCCATTTCCCTCATTGAACATATGCGAAATCACAGAGGAGAGAGACCTTTTGAATGTAAGGAATGTGGGAAAACCTTTTCCTATTCAAGTTCCTTTGGGAAACATACTAGAATTCACACGGGAGAGAGCCTTGATGAATGTCAGGACGGTGGGAAAACATTTTTTGGATCAAGGCACCTCACTGTGCATAGAAGAAATCATACAGGAGACAAACCTTATGAATGTAAGGACTGTGGGAAAAACTTTTCCCAGTCAAATAACCTCATTCGACATAGAAGAATTCATACAGGAGAGAAACCTTACAAATGTAAGGAATGTGGGAAAACATTTTCACTCTCACATTACCTCACGGAACATCTTAGAATTCACACAGGAGAGAAACCGTATGAATGTAAGGAATGTGGGAAAAGATTTTCCCAGTCAAATATCCTCATTCGACATAGAAGAATTCATACAGGAGAGAAACCTTATGAATGTAAGGAATGTGGGAAAACATTTTCTCAATCAAATAAACTCATTTCTCATAAAAGAATTCATGCAGGAGAGAAATCTTACAAATGTAAGGAATGTGGAAAAACATTTTCACTCTCAAATTACCTCACGGAACATCTTAGAATTCACACAGGAGAGAAACCTTATGAATGTAAGGAATGTGGGAAAAGGTTTTCCCGCTCAAGTTGCCTCAGTCGACATAAAAGAATTCATACGGGAGAGAAACCTTATGAATGTAAGGAATGTGGGAAAACGTTTTCCTGCTTGTATGGCCTCACTCGACATAAAAGAATTCATACAGGAGAGAAACATTATGAATGTAAGGAATGTGGGAAAAGGTTTTCCCAGTCAAATAACCTCATTCAACATAGAAGAATTCATACAGGAGAGAAATCTTACTAATGTAAGTAATGTGGGAAAACTTTTTCTCAGTCAAGTAAACTCA